AAGTAGCTTGTAACAACTCCTAAAAATGCATGTTCAGCTTATCTCCAGTCCAGAGATTTGCTAGATCCCAGTCATTACAGCCTAGTTATCACTTCAAAATAGAGACAGGCTGTATCATTTAGGGATCTCTGCCTATAATTTAGGGATTTTAAGGAAGAGCTGGACACATGCAGGTTTTGCTTTATTCCTGAGGAGTGGCAGCTATTTTCAAGACTGAGCTAAAAGAGAAATATGAAGTCATGCCATTGGAGTCAGGCAAAAATTGCTTGCAAAAATTGTTATTTCAGATATGAGCTCATGTACGCTGGGTTCAGGAATTCAAAATTAATCAACCTCTGTTTGCAATAGTCCTGCTCTTTAATCTGCCCACAGTTCTACTTCTGGATCATGTTAGATCCTAGCAGCTAAAATGTGGCAGATTGATTGATCTTTGGCTTTTAATGAGAGATGGCAACAAGGTGTTTTCCCTGGTTAAGAAAAGGGCCATAAATTCATGCAAAAGTCCCATCATTGTTTAAACCCAGATCTGAAACTTCAGCTAGTTAATAACACAGACATTGGTAAGACCTTTTAGCACACATCACTTTCCCTTGGGGAATATTAAGCAAAGCTGGTGGCTCTGAACTAAAGTCTTCCTGGAAAGGAATGCTTATTAAACCAGTTTACCTCTATAGTGGAGACATAAATATGAGGAGAAGATGGCAACACTTCCACTCAGTTTTTCCAAACGCATCGGTGCAGGGTAATACTAAAGAACCGAATGCCGATTGCAGAGTGCCTGAAGACTGGATGTCCTGGAAGGGTTCCCCATCACCACCTTGTGCTTTTTCACCTCAACTTGCTGACTCATCTTTTCTCTTGTGTCCTACCACTCGCTTCTGGCCACTGAAGGGGTAGGAGGGAAGCCTGTGAGGCATGGACAGAGGGCCCGATGGCCGAGCATGAACTCATTATCCCCTTTTCCCTCGTCTCCTCCCCCAAACAGCAAGGATGGGCCTCAATACTCGAACGTTTACTGTACTGTTACAACAATGCATGGGTCTTTCTCTTCTCTTCCTCTCCTGCGGCTGTAACTGGAGGCGTTTTCACTGTATGTCTGTGCCGTTCCGCTTTTCTGAAGTCTCTCTGGGACTTCCTGCCCTGACTTTCTTGCAGCATGAAAGCCACCTCTCCCCTCCCCACCACATCTCTGCTTTTGCCACATGCACCTTGAAGTCTCCCACAGGGCTTTTTGCTGTATGTGTCAGCAGCTGCCAACCATTATGCACTTCCATTTGCACAGCACTGTGTGCTTCTTTCCAAGAGGTCAGCTTGCCCACAGGGTCCATGGCTTGATTTAGGGATCAAGCCTGATGATGTCAACAAAAAAAATGGACATATACTTGGGGAATGCTGGTTTTGGTTGGTTTCTCCTTCCTCCCTCCCTTCCCAGAATAACAATTATTTCATGTTTCCAGTCATTTTAAGGGTGAAAAAAAGGCATTCTCTCATTTCATTCTAGCCTATCCACTGAAATGTTTAGACCAACTGGGTAGCCTATCAACCATCCGTTGGGTTTGGTGAGGCATATATAATAAGAACATACCAAAGCCACTCCCAAATGGAGACTGGCCTAGCTGAGGTGGCATATATGCAGGTAGGCAACTCAAGATACCTCTGCAAAATAAATAGGGGTGCACTTCTCCTTCCCATTTTGCAAATGAAGAATTGAAGCATATCATTAATAACTGACAGATGCTTCTCTCTCCTTCTGCCCTCTGAGTTGTAGATCCAAATTCACTTGATGTCAATCACATGCAGCTATTTTTCTCCTTTTGTACTTAAAATTATCCCCTTCCTAAAATGTTCTTCACCGTCCTCAAAGTGATTGTATGATCCAAGGAACTGTCAGCAGATCTGAAAACAAGAAATATTAAGGAAACAAAACAATAATGTTTAGCTTAAATAAAATTAACAGAAGCCATTTTGAGTTTAAGCAGAAAATCAAAATGGCTCCCCTTCCAGAAGTTAACAGTGGACGCTTCATACCAATCCTCTTGAAATGAACAATTTAACAATCAATGTCCTAATTTACTTTGAAGATATCTGTACAGAAACTAGGATTAGATCACAGAGCAGATTATATCCAACTTCACAACATGGAACATAAAATCTATCCGGTCAAGGTACTGAACTGAATTAAAATAAATAGGGTTTACCAGATATTGTCGGAGGGAACAATCTCTATTAAGGAATTACAAAATTAGCAAGATACTTAGAATTCAATCCTGACATGATTTTGGTGTCAAAATAATTTTCTGTGATTAATTTAAGGCTTGGACCAAAATTCATTCGTGCCATTCAGTCACAGTTGACTCTTTGTGACTGCCTGGATATGTCCCTGCAATTTTCCTGGCAAGATTTCATAAGTGGTTTGCCCTTGCCTCCTTCGTAGGCTGAGCATGTATGGCTGGCCCAAGGTCACCCAGCCATTTTTGTGTCTAAGGCAGGACTAGCACCACAGCCTTCCAGTTTCTAGCCTGATGCATTAACCACTACATCAAACTGACTCCCACATAATTGAGTTGCTGGAATTCTTGCAACGCTGTCACTTTCATCTTAGCACAACTGGGCCAAGATCACTCTGCTGGGCTGCATACCTAAAGCAGGATTAGAACTCACCATCTCTTGATTTCTAGCCTGGTGCCTTAACTACTACTTAACTACTAAACTTAACTGGCTCTAAAAGGCCAAAACAGTCGTTCCAAATATGGTGCAAAGTAAACTGAATATCTTTCCATTTCCTCAGATCCTTTGGCTAAAGCTGAGGGAATTTTAGCTTTGAGATCCAAAGTCTCTGTTGAATTCCAGCTTGAAGGTAATGTCTCTCCAGTTTACAGGGTTGCACAGCAATCTGCCTCCCTCCCTCTCTGCAATAGCACCCTCCTGCAGACATACATACATAAAGACCCGGCAACCAACTGAATACTTTTAGAATTAAATGTTTTATTTTCCCTTGTCTTCTCTCATCTCTCTCCCCCCACCCCACTCTCTCACACACACACTCATACACATATTTCTCTCCAAGATTAGGAAAGATAATTAAGGAACTTCCCAACATCATGTTCCTTCTGCTTCATTATTTATCTTGTAAATTGCCTTTGGGAATCTGACCCCACATTTCTGCCATTACTGCATGCTTCCAAATTGCTTTAGTTTGGGAGTTTTGTTCTTCATTTGATTTTGCTTGCAATTTGTTTCCTTTTCTTAATTTTGGAGGGCTTTGCCTTTCTCTTTTAGACTTCTCAGGTTGATTCTCCCCAACTCATCGTTTTGATAAAGGAGCTGGATCCTGGTCCCCAAGCATGATGTGGCAAGAAGACAGTCAAACGCATGCAATTGCCTAGGATTGCCTCAATCTTTCTCCTCCCCATTAAGCATGCAACCCTATCAACATTTATGTATCTCCTCTTCATCACCAACCTTCTGGGCATTCATCAAATGGGCTAGTTCTATACAAGAAGCATGAGAGAAGTCCCTCCTTCTCCACACCAAAATTCACCATAAATTATAAGACATTGACCTCCATGCTATATGCAAAGTACCCAGAGATATTTATTCACAAAGCACTACAGCCACAATGTCTTGAGATGTAAGCTAGCAGTCAAGTTCACTGGGATGGAGATGGGATAAAATTTCCCCAGTGCTTCCTTAAAAGAAGCAGCAGGTACATTTCTGTTGCTGAAACAAGCAAGAGACAGTCAGGGTCAACTCTTAGTGATCATTTGGTTAGATTTTTCTCCATGTTTTGAAATGCTGGCATCCATTTTAGAGCAAGATTCAGATCGCAGGAAAGAAGCCAGCATGGAGAAAGTAAGACTAGCTTACAATAAGCCACAAGCAAGTATGAAATACCATTCCCAATCCTTCAATCAGAACATGGACATTTCCTGAATGAGGTTAAATCCTTCATTTTTCACTACCATTATTTAGATTGAACTCACACCACCACCACATAGCACACATATATAAACAGTTTTCTACAATTGCTAGATTGTCACTAAGCATAATATTTAGTTGCCCACATATTCCTCTCATTTCCTATGCCTGTTTTTTTACCATTCATGTCTCATTCATTTAAGTTCTGCACTCATTTTTGTTTCATTCCTTGTGACCAATGAAGGCTCCTCTCTCCTCAGCTACATGTTAAGGAATTTGTCACAGGACCAATTCTGATTAACCCAAGACAAACAATGGACAATAAAAAAGGAGGGAACTGGACAAACACCAAGAATAGGGAAAGGACGCAGAGGGGCTAGGTAACAATACGGTACTGAGAATCTGGCATGGCAGCATTAAATTGATGTCACCCATGGCCCAGCTGCTGTTTCACAAGCTTATCTTAGTAGTTTTAGCTTCTGCTCCTTGGAAGGTAGGTAACCATAGAGCTTTCAAGTATTCTTTCAGTTGCTGGCATCCTTAGTAAAAAGTTTTTCACACATGTTGACACAATATTTATATTGGCTTAATAGTCATTCCTTATCCCAAGGGAATTGCAATGTTTTAAATGGGGAAGGGAAAGCAATTCTAACAAATTTTTAGTCCCATCACTAAAGTACAGTCCCACAGGATTATATCAGAGAAGTCACAATTAAAATGATGCGGATTTAACACATGTTTGTAGTGTCAACTTGCCTTCAGAGCAGAGAACCCCTTTACTAGGATATCTGCAACAAAGTGGAGAAACACTGACAATACTAGGATATCTGCAACAAAGTGGAAAAACACTGACAACACTGACAACACTTGGTCAGCACTGCCTTATGTACAGTGGCTGGAATGAGGTGGAAATTATATTTAGGATTAATGGTTCCTATCCCATCTCTTCAGCCTTCTCCTAGATCAAGCTGAGATGGCGAAGGATGACAATTAGCAAGATCCACAAATGTGGCCTGGCATTGGGCAGCTCTAAGTCAACTTTTCATTGATTCTCTTTTCCTTCCTTTTGGCCCTCTCTGCAGATCCGCGTAGTGAAAGCGTTCCGTAGTTCACTCTATGAAGGGCTGGAGAAGCCAGACAACAAGACCTCCATCCATAATTTCATGACAACGCCTGAGTTCTTGATCAACGACTACATCCACAACATTCCTCTCATTGACGATACAGACGTGGAGGAGAGCGAGGGTCCCCTAAGACAGCACTTCAGGGCCAGTCCCCCACCATCTCCCAACAAGAACAACAATGCCATTGACAGTGGCATCTACCTTAGCACCGATGTCAGCAAGACACCTACCTCCTCATGCAGCCCAGTTAGCCCACTCCACAGCATGGAAACCTCCCTCTAACACAACCCTACCATGCAACCAGTTGAATTGACTTTGTTCACAACAAGAGGTGTCCAGTTCCTCCTGGGAGGTAGGCTAGCTAAGGAAGGATGGAAAGCCGACAGGAGATGACACTTCACCTCTTGACTCAGTGGAGTGGAAAAGGACAAGGTTTTCTGCCATTGGATGGCTCAGGCAACCAGAGACATGCTGATTTGATGCAAGGAAAGCAAATCGTAGAGGGGGAGAAAAGTTTTCTTCAATCACTCGAGAGGTTTGGGCTGAGTCCCAGAGAGTGTACAGGAAAACCACCCATTTCTCTAATTTGTTCTTTGGGGTATTTTTGGACACAGCCACACTCACCAAACCCACAATGATCCTGCAATTGGGGGGTTGCTTTGATTTTTCTTGTGGGACCTCTTTTTTCTCCTCTCCTGCCCAATGTTTAAAAAAGAAACTATATTTGCACCAGAAAAAGGAAGAAAAACAAAACAAAACAAAAAAAAAGGAAAAAAGAGGAATAATCTAGACAACTATTATCCTAAAATATATATATATATATATATGATACCAACCGACAGATGTATTAACGGATTTTCTGACCATAACGCATGCCTGTTATCAAACTCTCCTTTCTTCTTCCCCCTCCCCCAATGGAATTTCAGTCTGGGGCAATTTTGCTTTTTTTAAAGAAAAAAGAAAAAAAATACATTGTTTGCTGGAGCTTGTATTTTATATCAGGATTTGCCAGGAAAAAGAAAAAGATTCCTTTCTATTAGGAGGGGAATTGGCTGTGGAACAATGAGTAACCAAAATGGATTTTTGTTGTTGTTGTTGTTGGATAGTGCAGATATAGTGTGACTGAAAGTAGGGTATGATTGCAGTGACACAAATTTGGGCCTTTTCAGCAATTTCACAAAAAGTGACTAAAAGGCACGTCCACCAGTGCTCACGATCCATATGCTTCCTTTAGGTAGTGATTTAACCAAACATCCAATAACTGAACAATACAGAGAATTTAGGGTGGAAAAAGAAGATAAAGTTTACACTTTGTAAGAAAGAACAGAACATATTTCCTGTTGCATAAGATCACTAAATTAGAGCATGCATTATTTGATAGATTTGTCAGAAAATTATATTTCTGAGAATCGTTTAATTTTCCAAACACCAACTACCACTACAAAGATTTCTACCCTCATGGTTGTGAAGAAACTTAGAAAAATATACATGCAGTGATTGCACAAGACCGCAAGGCCTATTATGGCTACTCACCTCCACACTGCGGCTTGAATTTATCACTTTAAAATTACTTTTATATTCTATCTTATTCCAGAGACTAGTTAAGTTACTATGACTTCGAAATGCCCACTTTGCACTGATTGGGAGGATATTTCCCTTCAGCCAGTATGTGCTAATTCTGAGATTCTAAATGGATTCTAAACTTTCATGACGAAACTTGCCTTGGGTCCAATTCTTTATACATGAGGAACTGAGCTCAGCCTTAGCAATTCTCTCAATCAAGCAAATTCATACTGCATGTTGGAGGGGGGGAAAGGAAACCCTGCCAATAAGACAAAATACAACAGTCAATGTACACAGAGGGTTTGGAGGAACATTATGGAAAACAGATGCAGTAATCCATAGGCAACACTGAAATGAACTCCATTTCAGGGAAGCTGCCTTTGAAAATTTCCAGTGCCAATACTAATTTGTGGAAGAGTGCATATTAGGAGTCCTTTATATCTCCCGTATCAAATGCTCAAGAGCACAGAAATAGCTCCTGAATATTCTTGATTTGTATATTATACTAATCGTCTGAGTAGACTAACCCTTCACTTATCTCCTCTCAGGAGCTCTGAGTAGTCTGCTATGGATTGTTTCATGTTAACTTTACAATAATCCTGTGCTGGCTGAGAGGAAATGAGCAAGTTGTCTAAGGCACTTGTGGCTGAGTGAAGTCCACCACATTTAAAAGTTTCAGTAATATAAGTTAGGCCAGTTAAGGAGGAACATACTGAAAATAATTGCACAGCATCAACTAGGCCCTATGCTGATCAAAATTCAAGAGAGTACCAGTACATTGGATTTTGTCACATATAACTATAAAATTATTTTTTATCGCCAAAAGGGCACTGGGTTAAACATGATTTCAGCATTTCCCCCCCAAACAATATAAATCTGAAATATCTACATTAACAGTAAAAGTCGATGTCATGGTGGGTAATAGAATACTGCACAAGAGGTAAAGGTTGCTCTAGCCAGGGACAAAAATTATGTATGGTCTTAAATGAATTATGAGGGTCCAAAACCCTTTCAATATGAAAGTTTGCTAAAAAGCTTCAATCCTAATAGTTTTCAAACATAGAGTGGCATCAGCTGCCACCTGAAAGGCATTCCTGGTTCTCAGTCAGATATGATGACCAAGCAGTACTTGGTGGTTAAAAGTGGATTGGGCAAAAATCAGGCAGCAGAGGGGTGAGGGGCACACATCCTCGGACTGTTTGACTTAGGCTCTAGTACTCTGACAGTGCCATTTTCCTCCACCCATGACATTACAGCTGACCATTCATCATGATTCAATATGTTACATGTTTTGTATTTCCTAGGGCAAGCCTGCTTGAAAATACCAGCTACAGCACTATCAGAAAAGCCATCCCTCCTTCGGAAGGGCAAATGCCAAACCCATCTGTAAATCTCTTTGTTGCCGTCTTTTCTTTCTAAGAACAAAATAACAAAAGCAAGCTTTTTTTCTTCTTTTTTCTCATCTGAATGTTTTTTAAAAAAATCCAAAATCTTAAAATAATTTAGTTTTCAGGGAAGGGGAATGGAGCCAAGGAACACTTTTGTCTCAACCTGGGCTTCTTTTCATTCAATATTGTAGATATTATTGATAGAAACAATTATAAATATTTAAAAAAAATACTCAAACAAAGAAAAGGTCACTTTGTCGCTGTAAATTTGCCAGCCATTTACAAGTGAGTTTTGTTCACAACTTGGGAAGGGAAAGGACGTTCACTCCAAGGGGGAAGAGGGGAGAAGAATCCATTCTTGTTGGGGACATTTCTTTTCTAAACCATATTCTAATGGGAAGAGGATAAAGGGTTTTTTTTTAAAAAAAGAATAATAAATAAGTTTAAAAAACAGTGCTTGTACATTTGTCCTAATGAAAGAGACTGCAAAAAATCCACAAGCATAAAGCTGGAAGTAGCCAGGAACTGGCTTTATTAAAATTGACCTGGTTATTACAAAAGCCATCCGGTTATTGGGAGAAACTAGTCTCATTCAGTAAAAGACCCTCACATGAACAAAACCTATCACTTCTTATAGTAGTTTTTAAAGCTCTCTTTTGTTGTACTTAGCTCCATCCTATACTTATTTCCGTATAGCAATCCTTCTGCAGATCTGTAATTCAATACTGGAGCCAAGCTTTAGAAACTGAAAATCTCTGGCTTAGTCCTTGACATCAATAGGAAGGACTAGGAAAGATCACCACCAGGAATTCTGGAGCATAATGAACTGCCAAACAATGAACTAGTAGGTATTACCAATCTACCTGAATCTGTTCCTATCACACCCCTTTATCACTGTTCCCTCCTTTCAATGCCTGTTTTATTTATGTACAGCTCCTTAGATCCAGAAAGAAGACAGTTTAGGATCTGCGGGTAAATCTCTGGATAATCCAAAGTAGATCACTAAACTTTTCTGATTTCCAGCTGCTTAAGAACATCACTACAGAATCTGGGGCAATAGATTTTTTTTTTCATGGAAAGACTGAAAAAATCCATTTAAGTTTCTCTGTCCTGTATCTGGAACAAATTCCCAATTCAATTTTTGAATTCCACACCAAATTCTAGTTGGTGGCTTGAACGGATGTATGTATATGGTGTGTGTGTTTGCATTTGTGCACGTGCTCGTATATTGCAAATGCCTGGCAAAGTAAGTCAGTTTAGAAATGGCTGAAACAAAGGGTTTCAGAGTTCATGAATGGCCAACTGGCACAGACAAGCAAGCACCGGAAACAGTGGGCCATGTTTAAAGAACAGCTGACGCTCCAGGGAGACTAGTTGCAGTCTAATTAGGATTGCATTAATATCTATCTTTAATTTATTTACTTATTAGATTGATTTGTTGCCCATCTTGCTTCAAGGTGACTCTGGGTAGCTTACATTAATGCACTGTTACCCAATTCCTAGAGAGAAGGTAAAATTCAAGAGTAGCTGACTTGTAGCGTATTTTCTTTAAAAGTTGGGTCAACTTTACTCAGAATGCCAGCACAACCTTCTCTGCTTGCAGCAGAATAGTATTTGTAGTAACTATATCTAGCTATTCTGTTAAAAGAAGAAATATGCAGCAACTGAGGTACAAGAACTGTAGCTCTGTAAATATGGATGGATGTTTGGAGGGCTGGGGGGGGGCGGGTGAAAAGGCAACCAGGTGTACACAAGAACTGCCTTGCAGGATCTGACTGAAGATATGTCTCCTTCAAAATTCTCTCTCCAACACGGATTAGGCAAAAATTAAGGGAATTTCATAATAAAGTATGGGCAGCACGATGGCTCAGTGGTTAAGACACTGGGCTTGTCAGCTAGAAAGCCAATAGCACAGGTTTGAGAACTGATGGGGTGAGCTCCTGTCTTCGTCCAGCTCCTAACATGCAAATGTGAATAGATAAATAGGTACCACTTCAGTGGGAAGATAAGCAGTGGTCTGTGATGTCATGCTGGCAACAGGACTGCAGAAACGTCTTCAGCCAGCTCAATGGTTCAATGGCCCTTGAAATGGAGATGAGCACTGCCCCCTATAGTCATTATGACTAGCAGAGTAAATCCACAGGGACTCCTTTCCTTTCCTTTCCATAGTAAGACACAAGTCAGACAGATGCCCCATTGGGTGTTGCCAAGAAATAGTACTCAAATGTATACCTAAATGTGGAAGATCAATTTACCATCATTGATAATAACTAAAATAATTGGCCTCTAAGAATTTACCTAGTTCTTTTTAAAAGTTGCATTGTGTTCCACTGGAATGTGTGGTAACTACCCTAATCCACCACTATTCAGTATTACTGGATCAAACTGAGCTTCACAATGTTTCAAAAGTATAACCCATTGTTTCTCTAGTTAAGCTTGTCTCTCATTTTTCTAAAGTTCTAATCCTTCTACTATTTTTCTAAACTAACCATGCAATCCTAAACAGATCTATTTGAAATCCATTCCAATGAAAGCGGGACTGAACCAACACCTACAAGATTGTACTATAAAAATGCTAAATTCTTAAACCTCTGTAGAAAACTATCACAGCAACAGACATTTTTTTTCTCTCCAAATCAGTACAATGCCAGAAAGAAACTATGAAAAGGGGCTCAGAAATCTGTTCATATGTCTCTCTGTCCATCAGCGAATTCTCTGAAAATCGAACAGAAGGAAGCCAAATGTGGCATGACAAAAAAAGCAAGCAAAAAAGCTTGAGTTTGAAAATAGACTGAATCTGGCCAGGGGGTAAGAGAGAAAACATTCCAGAAAAAAAAAATGATGGATGAGAGAGATAGTTGGGCAGAAATCCAGAATTTGCTAAACTCCTCTCTCTTGTCCCAGATTATTTATTTATTTCTATTCCTGCCATACCACAGTTTGCGGTAATTTCAAGCAACCCAAACATTTATATAAAATGTCCATGGCAGGAACTAAAATATGTAAAATTCCAAAACCTCAAAACTGTAAACATTACAAAAACAATCAAACTGAATATCCTTTTACTCATCACAGGACCTCCAGAAAAATTTAAAAGATATAAATTTATAAAGCGGAACGAAAGTATAAACAGAGAAATTCAAAAAGTAGGAGCACTTTTTTGTGTGCTGAAACATTCTTCTTGTGTTAAAAAAAATTCTTTATTCGGGAAAATCCAAATTCCTTAAATTTAGCTGCAGGAAAGTATCTCCAATGTGCTCTGTTCCATTAAAGGAAATCTAGAGCTGCTTTGAACTACTTTCAGTCAGACAACCTGAGTGAGAAAGAAGTGATGGAGAAATATCATAGTCTAACAACTGGAGGCATGTCTCGTGGGAAGAAATAAAAGTATTTTTGAGGAGAAAAAGATACCAAATTGGCAGCATCTTCTACGACAGTCCCCCAATCACATGACCCAGAATGGCACATGCTTCCTCATCCAAACAAATAGACAAACATAGAGACAGGTAACATGAGGAGCAGCAGAAATACAAATATACTCAAGTACAGAAGTGACCCAGAAGAAATGAGAGTTCTCCTATGGGCTTAAAAATAATTCCAGAAGTGTTGCTTGCTAGGCTTTTCACCCCATTTTATAATCTTACCATGTTCTTTCTACATAAATTAGAAATGTGGGCCATGAACCAAGTTCTGTCTCAAAATCCCTGCAACGTAATCTGCTGGCACTGAAAACGGCTCGCAACTCTAGAGAAAGGAGGCCTGGACTTCAATTCCCCAAAATCCCAATGTTGGTTTAGAATGACACAAGTTTCTACTCTTTGTGGTTAAGAAGATATACTTAATGACGAAAGCAATGCCTATTGAATTTTTAGAACCAAGGAGAGTGGCTGAGTTAAATAACAAGTGGATTCAAGTGCTCCATTTAAGATGCTGCTTTTTCCCATAATAACCAAAATGTTGTGGTACATAAATAAGAGAAATCATATATATATTGTTGAACATCAATTTTAAAGGGGCATGTTTTTTCTTTGGCATAGAATCAGAAGCCCTTGCCTTGTATCAGGGGTGAAATGCTCACCCGATCCAGTAGCGATGGCGGTGGGTGGTTCGGAGAACCGATAGCAAAAATCCCTGCGCCCCCCCCTTCATATGCCCAGCTGAGCCGCGCGATCATCAGAGGCTGGGTTTTTTTACTTTTAAAAGCATTTTTTCTACAACCTCTTCGGCCGAAAAAATGCTATTAAAAGTAAAAAAAAGCCTCTGATGATCGCGTGGTTCAGCTGGGATCAACAGAGGCTTTTAAAAGCATTTTTTCTACGACCTCTTCAGCCATAGAGGTTGTAGGAAAAAAAAAGCCTCTGGCAATCCCAGCTGAGTTGCCTGATCGTCAGAGGCTTCTAAAAGCATTTTTTTTCTGCAACCTTTTAAGGTTATAGAAAAAATGTTTTTAAAAGTTTTTTTTTTAAAAAGTTGGCCACGCCCACCCAGTCACATTACCCCCACCACCAAACCACGCCTACAGAACCGGTAGTAACAAATTTTAGATTTCACCCCTGCCTTGTGTCCATAGCATGGAGTATGAATTGCTTGGAGAGTGCAGAGTGTATTGCTTGGAACACCTTATTCACATTCTTTCCATTATCTCAAAAATACCGAAGTTAGGGAGGGAGACTTATTTCACTATCTCATGTTTATAAACTTCAGACACTATTTGGAAGCTCCTGGTTAAAACAAAGGCCAAGTATGCAAAAAGGAAAGACCAAGCTTAAGTTTATGACTAAATTATATTATTCACACAACACACGAAACTCCATATCCCTTGTCCCAGTCTACTTCATCCACTAGCAAATCCACCAGCAATTTTTACACTCTCTTCCCAGATGCTACCAAGAAAAAAGGTTGAGAGGTTGCCAACTATTTCCTGCTTTCTGGCTTGGTTATTTTTCCCCTCAAGTTGAGGATATTTTTTAAAATTAATGACTATGAGTGGCGTCCCCAAGACAGATCTGAGTTTCTTACAGATGACTGACTGAACTGCAGCAAGGAAACATGCACACACATACTTGAACAATACTACTATTGCATAAGTGAAAATTGTAATCAGTCAATGTTTCTAGACAAACACTGTATAGTGTTTGAAACATCTGTATGGTGAAACATTTGTATGGTGTCTCTGTAAGATGCTATTTTAATCTTAAAGAGATTAAATCGAAATTGGGGATGTCCAACCTTGGCCATTTTTAAGACTTGTGGGCTTCAACTCCATAATTCCCCAGCCAGCATTGCTGGCCAGGGAAAATTTGGGAGTTGAAGTCCACAGGTCTTAAATTGGCTAAGGTTGGACACCCCTGATCTAGATGATGCAGCTGATTTGCAAGAATTATTTTACTTTAAACAAGTAAACAAGCCTGTCCGGTGTTAAATCTAAGCTCCTGGCATTAAAATGGCCAATT